AATGTGCACTGGTATGCACAGAGATTCATTTTTAGGCTATGTGCTAACAAGTTTCAAAACTGTTGGCTCATGCACTGTGGCCATGCACCCTCTGAGTTGGCCCTGGCTCTGGGAAGCTTTATACCTGCTCCTGCTTTTTGCTAGTTTTACTTTCCTTAATGTCTTTGGCTGTTCTGCAGTCTTTCTCTGTTCACCCATCCTCTCTCACCTCCCTCTTTCTTTGTCTCTTCCCGGCTGTCATCTCACCATGTCTACTCTCACTGGGTCTCTTTCTGAATGGTTGCTTGCTGCTCCACTTCCAGAGATGCTGCAGGTGTCACATCAAAACTGAACCATGATGTGCAACAGCCTCATGCTTCACGTCAGCATCAGTCAGCCATGGAGATGAAATTTACAGGATAATGATTTTGTGAAAATAGTGATAGGTATTAATAATGGCTTCTAAAGGGGAAAATGTAGTAATTTTATATATAAAAATAAAGTTGGTTTGTTTTATTCTCTCATATTGGGGAAAATGTTCCACTAAAGCAGCAAAAAGCAGGTTTACCAATAGTAAAGTATTATAACTTTTGTTGGTTTGCAAATTTACAGTCCAGCAATGAAATATCCTTCTAATTTACCAAACTACATGTACAGTAATGAGACTATTACTGTTGTTATATGTTAATATGCTTTTTCATATCTTTGAATGTGTGTAGCATACACTAAGTGTACAGGGGTCAAATCAAAATCAAATCAAATCAAATTTTATTTGTATAGCACCAAATCACAACAAAAGTCATCTCAGGACACTTTACAAAGTAAGGTCTAGACCTTACTGTTATCAATATTATTACATAGGGAAAACTCAACAAATCCCCCTTGAGCAAGCACTTGGTGACAGTGGGGAGGAAAAAACTCTCTTTAACTGAAGAAACCTCTGACAAGGGGTCATGCACACAGATCTTTTACACAGATTGTGCACGCAAATTAGAGGTAAAAATGGGAAAATTGTTCATGGGTGTGTGTGTATTAATATTACTACAATGTTCAGGAACGCAGTAATAGACTTCTTAAGTTCTCAAGTCAGAGCTGGCAAACACGCCCAGAAACCTGAAGCCTTTCTTGGGGGGAAGCCAAAGTGTTTGCCTTCCTGGATCCTGGATCAAGCCTGAAAAGGGCTGGGCAGCCACTGCCATGCTCCTGCTCAGCTATTTCAAAATAAGGCCAGCAATGAAGTGGGACCCAGCACCGAGCCTTTGGGTGCTCCCAGTGAGCTCTGACACAGGCAGTGACTATAAATACTCACTGCTGACTACCTCATCCCTGAGTCCCCGTGCCTGCCCCTGCTCGCTCACTCTGGAGACTCCACCGGTTCTCAGGGGTGACAAAACAAGAGACAGTTCCTAGTATTGTGTTGCTTTAAATCACATATGTAAGTTATTTACTTGGTTAAGTTATTACACAGATATTCCTGGTTGACTTTAGAGAATTCTATGTTGGCCCCAGAATGTTCCCCATCTTAAAAAAATTGCACAATTGCAAAAAGCGTTTGTCTTCCAAATATTGTGGGTTGAGCAGCAGTTCATATGTAGTGTTTTGATGCAACTGGATTTTGTCTGTGCTTGAGATGTGTAACTAAAAGTGCCATGTGAATAATTACAGGTGACAAAGTCCTTTTGTCTTGATTGGTCTCTTTTATGTGTCATCTTTGACAAATGATCCCTCCTTTCTCATTGAAGGTGACGACTGCTGTGACATGAAAGAAGAATTTGGTTCACAAAAATATGTGAAACACAATACATGCTCACGATTTGTCAGATAATTTAAACATGTGCTGCAGGTCATCTAGAGTGTAACAAGGTTAGTAATGTAGTTCCATCAGTGGATAAATATTTGGGTGTGTTTCAGTCCAGTGCAAAATACCCATAACAACTCATTTCTCATTTTTCTCACCAGTTTTCTTTTTTCATTTCCTCTTGCTTGATATTCAGACCTGTGTGATCAGTTCTGTACATGTAATGAGTCTCTTCATGCATCATCACTGTGTTGTCACGATGACTCAAAATGAAATTCAAGAAAGTGAAGTAACTGGTTGCTGTAAAGAGGTCTAAACAGATTTGGGTGTTAGCAGAGTGTTAGCCATGTATTGTTGTATTTTGTGTGTCATATGCATCGTGTAAGCTTTTCATTTCATGTACTTAACAGAACAGACCTTGAGCACGGTCTGTTGAAATCTTTTGGCTGGCTCTACTCACCTCATGGAGGACAGTCATTTTGTTATGCCTTCATGCAGTTGATTGCCATGGCCGAAGGTATTACGTGTTCAAGTTGCATCCTGTTTTCTGTCCATTCCTCCCTGTTCTTGTGATTGCAATCTTTCAAGAATGCTTTGAGGGGATTTTTTTCAAATTTGGCACACATGTCCACTTGAATTCAAGGACAATGTGACAAATCAGTCCTATGTACTCCTCTGTAAATCTACTCTGTGAGGACAGAATATTCCTCACTGGAATTTTTTAGAATCATACATGTCAATATATTGGTAACTTCCATTTTGTCCAAAAATACACATAATGTACACTTCTCAAAAAAATAAAGGGAACACAAGGGAAAATAAGACATTCAACTATGTAATGAACAAGGTATTTAATAAGAATATTCCATTCATTCAGATCTAGGATGTCTTATTGTTGTGTTCCCTTTATTTTTTTGAGCAGTATATTTTAATAAATTCCTTTGAACTTGTATGAGTCTTGGAGATGTGCCGTGTAAACTACAGCTTGATGGGTTGGTGCAGTAATGCTAGTTGTTTTTGAAATTATGTTCTTGGAGAAGCATCTTTACCATTCTTCCCCTGCCCCCCAGTGCCATCCAACCTCTCTCTAGCTCTACCCCTCTTTGTGGCCAAACACAAAGGAGCCCTTATCCTTGGGCTACCGGTTGCCATGGCAACAGCTAACTGCGACTCCCTCCCACCCCACATTCCCAAGTTCTGGTCCAAGAGGGCCAGAAAATGACCCGCTTTTCTTGGCCTTGTACCATTTGATGCCAAGTGAGCAGCGGAAATTCTCAGCTCCAGGAGTGGCTCCTAGCGACTTTGATCCTCAACCCACATTGTTTATGTTTTTGTACTCACAATGGGATAATTGGTTATGGAAAATAAAAGGTATTGAGAGTAATATTCCTCCTTGAGTTAACTTGAGTGCTTAAATGATGAAGGTTTGAATTTTTATTGATTTGTCTTTTTGTGTTGTTCATCTAAAGTTGAGTAACAGACTTACAAATATTTATTTCCTAACTCTGGGTTTACATAGTATGTGTGCTGCTGTGTGCAGTGTTCGAGTGTGGACAGGTATGAGGGCATACGTGTCCCTCGGTGGCTTTCTTTTGTGTCATAATCTGTGTTTGTGTGTGTGTGTGTGTTTCAGTAGGAATGATCTTGATGACTTCAGCGGTTTAAGCAACTGATTGACCACTGATCTGATGTTTCTTTGTCTTTTTGTCTCTTCAGGGATTTGGGGAGACATGATTCTTTCATGATGCCATATCTGTGCCACACCCCACACCTAGGTAACCAAAGAGGGCCTGTCTGGCGATCTGCAAATCACAGAGGGAGCTCTAATACACATTGTGTTTCAGAGACAGTTACTCTCAAGAGCCTCCTGCATTATTGACACTCCTCCCCCAGTAAGTTGTTTTAGCCTTAAGTATGATGATTTGATCTAAGTCACTTAGGGCTGACTGTTTTATATTAAATATCTTTCTTAAACAAGCCAACATAATGCAATTAATGTGCACTGTCCTGCTGGTTGTCTGACCAAATACCTCATGACTTGCAATGGTTAAAACAAATCAAAGATTTTTTTTTGAAATTGTCATCAATGTATAAATTCGGCTATATGTGTATTATTGAGGTTGTAGTTAAAGGTGGTGTTGTTCTAAACTACATTATATTCAGAGGTGCCTTTATATTTTTGTCCCCTCCAGTTACATACATGAGAGGGTCTGAGTATTAGGAACACCTATGAATATAATGTGTGTTTAGTACAACACCACCTTTAGCGATGACCCCAATAATAAACATATCATTGAATGTATATGTTTGACAGTTTTACCAAGCACTGAAATATTTTGACCTTCATAAACACAGATGTTAAGGTGGAAGTGTTGGATTGAAGTGCATACAGTTCTACAGGTGTACCTAATAAAGTGGACAGTGAGTGCATATCCAAGATGTTCAACAAGCACGCAGTCAAAAGTTTTTAGTTCTCTTGTAACAGACTGTTGTGACTTAAGCTGTAATGTCTATCATGTCATTAGGTGATTGTATTTTCTTTTGTCACTGACAAACCAGCAGCCTTGTTGTTTCTCCACAGGTTTTAGTTCCCCTGCACACCTCCATCACTCCTGCTTCCTCTGGAGTTCTTGCTGTGTCCTGATTACCTACCTTGGGATGTTGGCATCATTTTGTGGTAGCTGCCATGGAGATAGACAGGTTGATTTAGTAGGCCAGTTTAGACACAACTTCCAGATGTCGTTCCAGATGCAGCTTGTCCACACGGGCAGTATTAAACAAGGGCGGGCACAGAGGTGAGATGCTGATCTAGATCCTTGTCTTCAAAATATTACACAGTTAGACAGAAGACACATTAGGATTATAGCCTGCTTCAGTGATATTATGCATCATGTTCAGTTAATGCATTTAAATAGCTGTTTCATAGTTTTAAAACTGAAACTTTGTGAGGGGCATGTATAGAGTTTTTGCTCAGTCAAACTATATATATTTATATATATGTAAAAATGATTTTGTCTCTTCAAAATATTACACAGTTAGACAGAAGACACATTAGGATTATAGCCTGCTTCGGTGATATTATGCATCATGTTCAGTTAATGCATTTAAATAGCTGTTTCATAGTTTTAAAACTGAAACTTTGTGAGGGGCATGTATAGAGTTTTTGCTCAGTCAAACTATATATATTTATATATATGTAAAACTCTTTTTGCCGCTGTGTTTGTGGCAAGAATAATATGTCAGTGCAGGTAACACCATGGCATTAATTTTAAATGTCAGGGTAGTGTGTCAGAACCAACAGTCAGACACATACCATCCATTCATTTACTGTCACAGTAAATAAGGCAACAGAATGGGGTTCAGCTTCTTGGCTTTAGTTGAGATTTTTCTTATCATATAGTTCTGTTTTTCTTCTGAGGTAAAAAAAATAAATAGGATGGGTGTGTTTGGCTCCACCAGGCTGAAGAAAGTGTCATCATCAAGCGTGTATCAGATTCAAGGGGTGTGAACTGTCATGCTGTTTATAATGGATGTGAATTATTGCTTGGTGTGATTCATGCTGTTTCTGTGACAGTCAGTCAGTACTCAGCTATGTGGAGAACTGTAAACAGGAAAACCTGCGTACTGTATGAGATGTGTTACTTTTATTTAAATATGTCACAATTTGCTTTGTATGATCTAACAAAACTTGATTTAATTGGCAGTTGTTTTTTTTTATCATTCCATATTCTCACATCATTATTAACTCCTTTTGAAGGCTCAGTATGTTCTTGTCCTGTGCAGGTTTTCATGCAACTCATATAGTCTACCATCATTAATAACTTTATTAAAATCTGTCTTTTGTTCCTCTCAGGTGCTGTGTGGCTCAGGTTCCTGTTTTCCACTGTTTGACAACATCACAGCAGGAACTATAGGACTTCCTATTTCTGTGGAACATCTTGGTTTGGCTCCTGGTACTTGTGAGGACCTTCTTGGCCCTGTTACACAAAACAAGACTCTGATCCTCCAGCATAGAAATCATGCGGCACATTCATGTGGAGTTAGCCCACAAAAAGGCTCCATTAGAGCTTCCAGCCCAGGAGGGGGATCTGCCTCCACCTACAGCAACAACACAGGGCCTCGACCCTGGGGTCAGACCAGGAGCACCTAGGCACTTTGGCCAGGAGGAGTTGCGGCTCCAAAAGGTTTACCAGCTCTCCATTTTCTCCCAGTTGGGGGAATTTTCTACCTCCACAGAATCCCACACTGATGCCCAACAGAGGCCTGTCCGGTTGGGTGTGAAAAGGGGGCTAGAGGAGCCCCAGTTAATTCATAAGCGACCTCACCTGGGAGACTCTTCAAACCGGGAGGCACTGGAGGGAGGGATGCTGTGTGGGCCAGCTCCAGCTCAGAGTGCTGGGATGGGGTTAGCAGTGGGCCCTGGTGGGCCCGGTTCTGTATATTCTTGCACACAGATGGAGCACAAAGACTCGGAGGGAGGTCTGTCACCTAGGTCTCCACCCCTCTCCCCAAGCCACAACCCCTCTCGGCGACCACCTCAACACAATCATGATAGGCCCGTTCCTGATGTTTTTGCTCCACTCTCACCTAAATCACCCCCAATGTGTGACCCACATGGGCATCTCTGTGATCAGGGCCATTCCCTTGTAAGCTCAGCCAGGACTGAGCCTCCTAGTGGGGGCCGCACACCCATCTACTCACTAGGCAGCCCTGGAAATGAGAGCTGTAGTAATGGGTCATCTGGTGGACAGCCCAGCCCCCAGTTATATGAACTGTCCACATATGAGACTCCAAACCCTGCCAGTCCCACCAGCCCTCCAGGGCCTTTCTCACCCCCACACCACACAGAACTGCAGGAACCAGGGGAGGCCACCGAATGGGAAGTTGGACTTGAATCCTCCCCACCTGAGCGAAGTGCCACCCAGGCTGCTTCATCCTCCTCTAATGGCCTGCATTCCTGGGAGAAAACCCCCAGCTCTAATGGCCATCGTCTGTCCTCTGGGGGCCACTGGCCAGCCAAAAAGAAGCTGCTGTCCCCAAGTGACACAGGGGAGTCGTGTTCAGAAGATGAGGGACCCTCCACCTCCAAGAGAAGCAGGCTGTCACTGCTCGCTCCAGGACTCGGTCCAGCCTCATGTCGCAGCACTGATTCTAAAGCTGCCCCTTACTGGAACCACCTGCTGCCCTCTGCATGGGACCAGCCTAAGGTCAGCACTCTCCGCACATACACACATCATATGTCTCTGTCAGACATTTGCTTTGAGAATATCAATTTACTGAAACAACCGCACCATCATCCTAACAGGGCGACATGGTGTACAGCACACAACGTACAGTAACAAACTCTTCAGTTGCAGTCAAAAATGATATATTTGGATTGTATCAGTACTGTTGGTGACAGAAATGCAGTTTGTTGCTCTGAGCAAGTAAAGCGAAGAACCTCTGATGTCACACTGATGGCAAGAATCTTAAATAAAATATGTAACAAAATATTCAGATGATTTCAATATTATATATATCAAAGTCCTTGAAGGAATGACACTGGAGTTGATAGAAATGGTTTTCTTTTTTAAGTGTGGAGGCATCTAAATCTTTGTATATGGCATATAGAATAGCATTTCAATGTTGGCGCTTGATGGCAAAGACATGTTAAGGCAAAAATAAAGGCAAACTAAGAGTGAGTAAAAGTGAAAGAATGAAGTGATGGCTGGCTCATTATCGCATCACACTGGGAAAAGGCTGAGTAGCTCCAGAATAAAACCCATTGAGGGAGGTTTCATTATTCCCCATGAGTGTGTTCTGTCTCTCACACACACACACACACACACACACACACACACACACACACACACACACACACACACACATAATGCCTAAAAAACTGTTCTGGAAGCAAATTGGCCAATTTTGAACACTGGGAGGCCAGAAAGAGCTTTGAGTATGCAGGTATGTGGGATAGAGAGTGTGCTAATGGACGTAATAGGGTTTTCTAGTTAGGTTTCATACAATGGTGGAGTCCCTATCACTAGAGCTATTTGGTGTATGTGTTAGAGAAGCTCAGAGAGAAACAGATGGGTGTAAGGAAGACTCAAGGATACAAATTAGAGACAGAGAGGACAGTGAAAGGAAGAAAATAAGGCTAAACCCTCATAGCTGATATTTTAGTAAATAATGTTTACAGAAAGATATTTACAAGACATAGGAAGGTGAGAGGGGATAATAATTAAAATGTTCTATGTGGTTTTTATAGTGTGATGATGTGGCAACATAGTGACAAATCATAATGTCCTTTTTTTGTGTTCTCTTTTTTCAGACTGCCACAGACTGCATAAGATCAGGGAGACGACTAAAATGTGGGCTGCGGTGAGTCATTCAACTTTTGACAAAGTTCTGCTTTATAATTACAAATGTCAATATAAGAAAAATGACAAGTTCTACTTAAATGGGATTAACGCAGCAAGATTTTAGATAATCATATGCACCAGGTTAACGTTTGAATGTTTATGTCAGGATAGGTTGTGTGTTATTCTAAATTAAAGGGTTTTATGTGTGGACAGATATGCTGGGTAAGACAAAATGAGTATAATCCTAATGACTAACCACCAATGTGTTTTGTGTGTTTGTGATCACATTCAGTCGGCAACTGCGCAGCGGCAAACACACCACCACCACCGGCCGCTCTACGCGCTCCAGCTGGCCTTCATCTTCCATCAGCAGATCACTACTAGGCAACTTTGAGGTACACATTTTCTGCATTATTTTAACAACTTCAAGAGGCACAGGTACCTACAAGTGAAAGATAGAAATCTGATTTTAAATGTTTTTTTATTTGGTTAAGTTAAAATCAAACCAATTACAATAAAATAATCAAGAAAGTAATGTGTAGGGAGGGGCACAAAGCACAAAAGGCTCATTCATTATCACTACAAAAATAACTGATAAAAGATAAGTGATCCTTTTTTAAAATTATTTTACAAATAGGATTTTCAGAAAGCTGTAATTTTAACCCTTCTTGAAAAATGTTTTAATAGGGTGCATAATATTGCTGTTATTTTTTATTCTACTCTCTATATAGCTGAATATTCGTTAGTAGAACACAGGTGGGGTCTTTGGGTTTAAATAGGCCTAGTTGTTTTTATGATTGTTGAACTTCACGCAGGATTTTAAGAAATACAGTAAGTGCCAGCCAAACATGACATGTTAACATATGTGAAATATTGTATTCCTTAGTGCAGCTACGTTAAAAACAAAGGGTTCTAATATATTAACATTACAATGAGGGAAAATCTGTAACAATGTGATAATGCTTTTAAAATATTCATTCTGTTGTTGTCAAGCCGATGTTGACTATGTTCAACACTGCTTTGGCTTCCATAACAATAAATACAGGGGATTTTGATTTCACAAAGTAATGTGTTTTTCTGTGTCTGTGACCAAACTTTATTCTACAGCGCAGCAGTAAATCCTTTCTCCTAAGATAAAAAGTTTCAACAGGCTTCTGTTTGTGATTAATAGCACTCTTCTCTTTGTGATGTGTTGCAGGAATCCATACTCAAGGGACGATTCTCCCCATCTGGCCGGATTGAAGGCTTCACTGCGGAGATTGGTGCCAGTGGCTCCTATTGCCCGCAACACGTCACCCTGCCTGTGCAGGTTACGTACTATGACATCTCAGAGCACAGCGCACCCTCACCGTTCCTGGTCAGTGTGTGTGTGTGTGTGTGTGTGTGTGTGTGTGTGTGTGTGTGTCTACTAGAGATTGTGTTTGTGTATGCTTATGTGCATGCTTAGTCGAGCATACCCAGTAAACCAAACAACACACCAACATTGTTGCACACAGCAAGCAGTTTGTTTTCCAGTATGACACACTCACTGGGAGAAAACAAAGCAAAATTAGAGCTCAGAACCACTGCTCAGAAACAATTACCAATATCGAATTGGCTTCAGCAAGCCTGATGTTAGCTTGTTTCTTCAGAACCAGATGTAAAAAATATGTGGCATTTTTCCTTCCCATGCATATATTGTGAAGCTTCTTCCCACATCTGTCCACATCAGCAATGAATACTTTATATTCATCATATCATAAAACCGAGTTCTAGGTAAGGGACATTAGTATGTGAACAACTTTACATGGTGTTTGTTACGCTGGAAACCAGCTGCTTCCGCTTGCTTAGCTTCATGCCTCATATTGGTTTAGAATTGAGGAGAATGTCAGGCTTTTCAGAGTCAGTTCAGTATCTGAAGTTTTTTTTGTGTGTGTTTTTGTGTTTCTGATGAAGAATTGGTTTATTCAACATGATGTTTGTCTGTCTCTCTCACAGGGGGTGGTATCCCTCGAGCCTCTTGGAAAGAAAGGATACAGCATACCCAAAGCAGGGACCATTCAAGTGGTGAGTTTCTTTTTTTTTTCTTCACATTCTTATCCCACTCTTTGCAAAGGAAAAGACCAAGATGCCTATAAAATATTTAAGGACTTTTAACACTACATATATTTCATCCATGGTACCACAATGTCTAAATGACAATGAGGCACAACATGTTGACTTCATGATTTTTATATTCTAAGGGTCAGGTGTTTGTCATAGAGTTGAACTATGTACATGAGTTTATTCACGTTTTGTGGTTTCAATTAGAAAAATAGCTTTTGTGCACTTGGGTTAAACCCATTGCTAGCTGTCTTATTTTTGCTGTTTGAAATGCTGACCGTGGTCTGATGTATCTCCCCAGACCTTATTTAATCCCAACAAAACTGTGGTGAAGATGTTTTTGGTGACCTACAACTTTGGCGACATGCCCGTCAATCACATGACCTTCCTGCGCCACCGTATCTTCTTGGTGCCTGTGGAGGAGGGGGTTGACGGGAAAGGCGAGACGTCTCCAGGGGCTGGAGTGCTAGACAGGAAGAAGATTCTCTGCTACCTAATACATCTCAGGTACGGCTGAGGTTTCAGCCTCTGCTTTGCATTTTGGACCAGATATTTTAGTAACATTTGACTTTAAGCCAAAGCTAAGTGAAAGTTATCCTTAATTTATATTCTTATTTATAGTTGTTGCACACAGTTTTAATGTTTGTGAGTTTTTCATTAAACGCCATAAAGCTATTTTTGTGCACTCAGATAGTTCAGCATTTTGGGAAATGTGCCTATTTGTTTTGCCCAGAGTTAGGTGAGATGATTGATACTACTCTCAAACCATAAATACTTTCCAGTCGTTCCACACTGAGTAAAATTTTATTAGTATAGTCCAATATTGCAAATCACATATCAAATCTGTACAGCATATGACACTTGACTTGGAAAAGGAACAACTCCACAAAAAAATCTTTTAATGGATAAGGCAGGAAAATGGAAAAAACCTTAGGAAGAGCAACAGAGGAAGGATCCTTCTTCCAGGACAGATATACTATAGGTGTCATGTGCACAGAATACTAAATGGAGAGACAGAATGACTAAACTATAGATTACAAAAATATGATCTGGGAGGGTGTCAAACAACTTCCAGGTGCTGCCAGGCTGTCCTGAGCCCTGTGATCTCCTCTCCACCATGAAGACCTAGAAGGAGGTCAAAATACACAGAACACAAGGCAAAGCCCAAGCACACCATTCACACCTTTAGAACTAAGATTCTAGGTAGCCTGGTTCTGTCATCACGCCCAGCTAAGAAGTAGTTGTGCGCATGACCCTGGAAAGTGGACCTTGTAACCTTTAGGCAGTCTAGCCCCGCCCCACCCATTTCTAGGCTTTGTGCTAACCAATCTAACTGGCTGACGGACAGATGTAAGACTGATAGATTTTCACATTATATGTAAGAAGCCGATAAACATATTTCCCAAAATGTCTGTGTAATTAAGAGCTTTGTCTTTTTGTGGACCTAAACTGTCAAGTTAAAGTGTTTGCTACCACTGCTTTTGGTTCTGGCCTGCTCAGATTCCAGAGCTCCAAATCTGGGAAGATCTACTTGCACAACGATATTCGGCTGCTATTCTCCCGCAAATCTATCGAAGTGGACACAGGGATCCCTTATGAGCTGAAATCTTTCACCGAGGTGCCAAGAAACCCTAAATACTCTCCTCGCGTGTGACCCCAGCTTTCCCCTTTGACCTTCCCCAGCAGCAACACAGCTCCTCCTGTGATTCCTGAAGAGGAAGGAGGGAAACAGAGACTGCTAAGAATGGTGGACACAAAGCTTGATAAGTCTTGACACACATGAGCATGTGAGGCAGTGTTGGTCATTGGAAAAGTCCCCCTTTTCATGTGTTTATTTTTTATTGAAAAGTCAGATATGGATAGAAAAATGTCACTCACCCAAACATGGCATTCCGTGCATCTTCCATTCACTGAAGTTATAAAAAAAAAAACTCAAGTATTTGTGTAGGAGCAGTGTATCAGGCATGCAGTTGAAAGCAGGACTTTTTCCAACACCTGCATCTGTGTAAAGACAGAAATGCACACACACCAAAAACAGCACATACGACACAATCTTCCAGCCAAATCACTTCTGGTGGCGGCTCTCTCAGTTCAGTGTTAACATGCATGCCTTGTGACTTAAACACCTGGAAGTTCCTCTAGTGCCATATCACACTGTCCTTCACTCTGCCTGCAGATACAGCAACCTCACTGGACCACTAATTTCCACAGCCTTGGAACTGACAAAAAAGCAACAAAACCATAAGCACTTCATGGAGAATAAGATGATTATTCCACCCTTCACACTCACAAACCTTCTGACCAGAGGAAAGTATGAGCAGAGACACAAACACTTTGATTGGATATCTTATCATTAACACTTAAAAAAAAACAAACACACACACACACACACACACACACACACACACACACACACACACACACCAACACATGATTTGCACAACACACACACATGCCAACATGATTTGACCAAACTCAGGACATCTGTTGAAGAATGAATTTTCTCTTCCTACCATTTCATTTATGATGCAAACCACTGTGTAGACTTCAAGCCAGGACGGTCATACCATGTTGTGAATCTAGTTCATTTAATGTAGTCAGACTGAGGGACACTGTGCTGCTTTCTTTTTTTAAAAATTATTTTTTTAGATTTTGTGCAGAACAGTGTGACATTGGAGATGAAAAGGGGGGGGAAGCTTTAGTATTTTTAATTTATGTTTTCGCAAATGTCTTAATAAGCAATACGCTGCACAAAGTAGAGTGTGTTTTCCAGCCGGACGAGCTTTCTCTCTGGAGGGGGAACGGTGAAAGCAGAGAACCGAGAGTGAGAGGTGAAATGGGAGGAGGAAGGGAGGGAGGGGTGGTGGGGTATTTAATATGGGGTTAAATGTCTATGTATATTTAAAAAAAAATAAACTCTGCGACTGACTAGTGCCACCTGTGTCTACTGTTTTTGACAGACATCTAGAATAATTTGTGTTTTCTAGTAGTGAATGGATGTTTTGGTTAAAACAAATTGTCATAATGTCAGAGCCGTGTCACTAGAGACCGCACATAATGACATACAACGAAGAAGGCAGCTGAATAATAGTCACAAAAAGAGAAATTCACTTAGATTGGCATTCTTACAGACTGTAGGCAAATAGGCTTGAGAGAAGTTATGATGTGGTTCCCCCCTCTTTTACTACACCACTGAAACTGCTCAGTGGCCAGAAACAGACAGTTTTTGGTTGTTCTGCAAATGCTAATGTCAAGCTGTGAATGTCAAGTGTGGCACTGCTGAAAAAGAAAATCTATACTCTGTAAATACACTAGCTAAAAATAGTGAGGAACTATATACGTATATACAGTATATCTCACCAGCAGAACAGCCAGTCAGATCTGCAATACACTGGTCAAAATGTCAAAAGAATTTGCTTAAGGTGAGATTAAATAAATAAAAGAAAAAGGATTATGGCTTGATCCTGAAGATTCAGTGGCTTCTACTTAATGGGGTTACTGTATATGTTGTGTAACATAGAAACATAGAAACAAAATTTAACAAAAACAGCTCATATTACTATAAATGCTATTTATTTTATTTGTCAGCTGATTATACAACTACACACTGCATGTTCATTATGTTCCTGGCAGTTACTTCATCTCATCTTCTGTTTCTCTCCCCTAAATGCAGTTTTCCTCTTATTGCTTTGAATACATATTGTAAACACAGAAAATGCAGCTAAATGGCATTAAATTCCACTTGAGCCACATTTTAAGAACTAAAGGAACCCATCTTGTTTAAGGTAGAATAACCATTTTAAAACAATCAATCCACCAATGTGTCTCAGCCACCAACCTATACAAGCACACATTTACACACCAGTGCTACCCCTAAGTTGTTTCAACAGTGGCTCCAAGGGCTCTGATGGGTGCCTAATGCTGTAAATGTTAAACAGAGTGGAAGGGGCTGGATAAAGCCAGCAGACCCTGAGAGACCTGTGTTTACAAGACCTATCAAGATTTTTATTTGCCATTTATGCAGCCTAGGCAGATAGGAAAGGCAGGAGAGCCTGAACATGAACAAAGCCAAAGAGACGAACCCATGTAGTACAAGAATGAGTTTTAATGGTTTTTTCCCATCTCTCTCCCCATAATGTGAATTTGTAAAATGGCTAATTTGACCAGGTTTCTAGCCTCTACTGACACTCCTCTTTTGTGAAAGCAACACTTCCCAAATCCTGACCTGGCTTGTAAGACGGTCTCTAAGTCTTTTCTGACCCCAGTTGGCAGATTCTGGAATTGCAGCTCAAAATCCAAGTCTAGTAGTACTTGAACCTGCAACTGCATGCGACTGAGCTCCTTAAAGTACATGCATATTTTTGGTGAGGTGCATTTTCTGTTTTTGAGAAATGCTTTCAACTGAAGACCTTGACATATTAAATAGATATTTTAAAAGGTTTGTTTACCTGCAGATTAGGTACAGATAATTTGACATCTTTGTAGCTTTGTTACTTGCTTATAATCACATACAGTAATAAAGTGCTCGGAGGTACCGCTGCTTAATGCTCCTGTCACATGACATAGTATTGGTACACACCTATTGTTTTTAAAACTAGCACGTCATTCTCCCTAATTGATTGTTGAAGCAAAATGTTCAGTGTTTGACCTTTAAATTTTAATATCCTAAAGCTGTCATAATGAGAAAAATTAGACCTTTCAAATGTTTCCCATAAAGATTAGTAACCTGCAGAAAAGTTTCAAATTTAGATTATAAACTTTTAATCTGTGTAAGTGAAAGCAAATTTTGACTGTTGGTGTATGTGTAAAAAAAAAATAAATTGAAGTGCTTCACACATAAATATTTTAATCTTGTGCCAAAGATAGAAGAGTTAATTTATGTTATTGTTTGGTGATGGTCTTTGTTTGCTGATTCCCAAATACCCTCACTTAATTTACCTATAAATAGTCATATCATGGCAGCAGATTGCTGTCTTTAAAAAAAAAAAAAATCCCTGAGCAAGTTCAGCGTCTTCCTCCGTCCTCCTCTTTGTCTATATGACATCAACCAGTGTGTGGGCAGCGCCCTCAATGGCCTGGCTCAGGACTGACAGGTGATCGTGCACTTTGTCCCAGTCACTAGCCTGGTCTGATGACTGGGCGTTGGCATAGGCATCAGCCAGACCTGGGAAGGTTGGCTTGCCGGCACTGCTTGAGGCCCACAAAACATGCCTGTGTAACACACAGAGAAGATTGATGTAACAATGAAAAATCAACAGAAATGTGCTAAGTCACAATGACACAAATAATTGCTGTTACTAACCCTAACACGGCATGAGATCAGGGGTTTAAGACAGAGTACAGTGCCCATAGCAAACCACAGATGACATATTAACTCAGTTTTGCCTGCGACTTAATTCTGGCAATCATTTTCTGTATACCTGTATGCATCTACAGTATATACCTGTATCCATATTTATCTTGGAAAGCCAGAGGGTCCAAGAAAGCTCGGTCCAGTAACATGAGCTGGTCGTTGATCCCTCTGACCTTCAGCGGTCTAAGAAAAAACATACACAGAGGAAGAAAGAGGGGGGTAATTGGAATTTATTGGTATGTATATGACAAAGGAGATATGTTTTTCCTGTGTGTGTGTGCACTTACATTTCATTTGCCAGGTCTGTAGTGCGAATCACCTGGTCCAAATGAGCAGCTGCACTGCGGAAGCTGGCCACTGCACGTTTTAGTGGTTCTGAAACAAGACACAGATCAGGTTTGCCTTCTCTAAAGCCCTGTGACTGGTAAGTCTGAGGTGTAGCCTCAGTTTATTATTATGCCTTCAGGTTTTTCCTGCTACAAAGAGCATTGTTAACACCAAAGTTCAAGTCAGAGACACTGAAGCATCTCCTGTGTTGTGTTTACCCATGGATATATGCTTAGCTTGAAGCTGATGTTGATATAGATCTACTGCAGTCTTGAGGTAGTCCTCCAGACTCTCAGCATAGTCACTGCAGTTTATTGGCAACACCAGGCTGTCGGCCAGTCGGATCAAGATGTTGCCTGCTGTCCTGGCAACGGCCTGGTGGCTGAAGAACCCTGAAAAAAGAGGTGGGAGAATAAAATGTTATATACTATTGTTAGGAAAATTGTTTGTGGTCTTTTCATTTGTCAACAGAAGCTGTTGGCTGAGAAATACAAGGCTTTTTGTTCAAATATATCAAATGGTATAACATAAAATAAAACACACAGATTTATAGCTGCCATTACATCAATTTAAAAAGATACGATATCTGATAACAAAGAAGGTGACACTGCTCACCTGGATCAATGAACTTTGAGGCATAGTCAAAGGAGTCATATGCTGTGTGGTATGCAGGGTAAATTCGAGCATTCGTTTTACTCTATGAAAAGAAAAATATCCGTATGACTGGAGTTACAGTATGTGACTGAGATAGTTCAGTTCAATTCTGATTTCTCTTGAAATATGCAGCATATACAGGTGTAAGTATTACAATATACACTTTCTTAGGAGAATATTACCATTAGGCTAAAAAGCTCTGAAGCCATAGTTTACAATGTTTTCAGCAGTATTTAAGGCTGGCATGTTCATGTTTCTGGCCACTTTTCCCAGATGTTTCCCTGCATGTTAACATGTTCAGGTGGAGTCTTTTCCCAGATGTTTCCCTGCATGTTAAATGGTGTGTTTATGAGAAAGTCTTTCATACCCTGTCATATGTGTATGAAATATCAATGGAAGTGATTCCCAGGTAATGCACAAAGGCAGCGTAATCACTTCCTGCACCTGTCATAGATCCCACCCTGTCAAAAGAAGACAACAAATAAAGCATGTTTCATTAAGGGCATGGTGGTCCTAAAACTTCTGAGGAGTAACCATAGCTCATTACCCAGGAATGATTCCATGGGCTGGGCTTGTCCTGTTGGAATACTGTATCCAGTTGTCATACACAGACTTGGAGTCCAGTCCAGGTGCACTGACCTGAAGAACAATTATACCATGATGTGAAAGGGTCTTGGTGGTGTGGGGATAATAGTTTTATTCAAGTTAAAATGTTAGAGGAAAACACCTCAGCTGACCTGAGGTCATTTTTAATGAGCTCACCTGTTTTGCTGCTGTGAAGATGACATTCTGTACTGATGGCATCCCTGAAGCTCTCAGGGTGGCATTGGCTGAAGAGTGGTAGATGAACAAATGCTTTGCATTAGCATCATTATTACAAATTCTTCATTTTCCATTTTTTTCCCAAACCATGTAGTTTAGGAAGTTTGTGATCATTTGTGCACCTACAGTACAAAGGCTGCATCTGTTCAGATGAGGCCAACACTGACGCCATTACAGGCCATCAAATATTGTTATTTACTCCTGGAAGGTAGTGTAGGTGCAGCTTCTTACCAAAAACAGCTATGTCCACATTGATGTAAGCAACGGTGCGTTCACTGAGCTTGGTGTAGTATTGCTGGGAAAAGACAAGCTCAAGTTCAGTTTTACCACTGTAACTGTGTATTCAAGCAATGTTTAATATGTCCTGGAAACTAGTAGTAAAATAGAGAAGGGTCATCAGCTCAGTAAATGATTTAATAACGCGTGTTATACAGTACAGGACTATTCATCTCAAGTTTGTTAATGTTAGCTAACATTAGATAACATTAGCCATCACAAGATACCGGTCATACCAAACCAAGAAACAAGAAATGAACAGGAAACAAACTCCTGAGTATATAAACTGAGCAACAATGCTTTTTTTCTTGTCTTTTCTTATGAATTCATCTTTTGATTTGTAAAGTGAAAACTGGTGTTTCAAAACCTCTGTAGTTATGCTTTTAAAACAATTTATAACTGTATTAATGTACACATTTATTCACTTGGCATTATGTCTAATCTTGTGGATTAATTGCAAATCACCTCTGTGTATTCTGTCGATCCAATAAGACCGAACTCCTCTGCTCCCCAGCTTCCAAAAATAATAGACCTGCGAGGCCTCCATTTGCCTGCAACATGGAGGGACAGAGATGAGATTTTTATCCAACAGCATATAGAATACAATCAGAAAGCACTCTGACTCTCCTCACCCTGCTTGACCATCATGCCCAACACCCTGGTCAATTCCAGCATGACTGATGTCCCACTGCTTGGGTCGATAGCACCATAAACCCAGCTGTCTCTGTGGTTCCCATAGATCACATACCTGTCTGTGGAGATATGCACACGGGCAGCCACAAATTACTCGCAAACTGAAAACACATGACTTACAATCACTGATTTGGACTTAGGCACCAGACTCACCTGGCTCAACACTCCCTCTGATAACTCCCATCACATTTGAGGAGTTCTTCAACTTTTCATAGTTGAAGATGTCCAGCTTAACATCACTGGAACAGAAGTTCAACTTTACAAGTATGAAGCAACAAGAAAGAGAGTCAGCTAGAGAAACAAACTTCCCACTGCACTACTTCATCTCATTTTGAGTAGATTGCAGTCACTCCTTTCAGTTATTTTGCTAAAATAGTTGCATTGGTCAGTGTGAGTTACCCGTAGCTAAGATTTCAGTGCAGCTAATGCCTGAATTTGTCTGCCAGTTGACTACCTGTTGTTGAAAACAGATGTTTGTTTGAACCCCGGGCCACCAAAGTTGTAGGTACAGTTGAATGCTCCCTGCCATGCAGCTGGAGCTGCCTCTCCACCCAGTTCACTGAAATGACCAAAATAAAAAAACTAGAATTAGCTCATAACTAACTGTTTTAGGTTGTGGCAATTCTACAAGCAAAATTATCTATTTACAGACCAGATTAATTTGTAGGCATCTTCAAATCCAATTGGCTGAATTGGAATGGGAGGGATCCCTGTAATGTTCTCCACTGGAATTCGGTAGGTTTCCTCTGTAAAATAATGAATCATCAGTTTCTAAACAATTTATAGAGAAATACAAAAGTGACCTGGTTTTATCTTTATGCATAACCATTTGTAGCTGTTGTATAAACCCACCCCACTCTACCCCCCTGATAGTACTGAGGCCAAAGTGCAGCAGTAGTACACTACACAATAACATTGAAACCATTTGCACTATACAAATTGCTGGTTACCTTTGGCAGCCAGGTAGGGTGTGCGTAAGTCTCCAAACTGACTGGTAAAGGAACCTCTCTCCACACCTGAGGGTGGCATGTACCAGGAGTGAGGATACGTGTCAGTTTCTGACATCCGACCATCGTTGATGTCCAAAGGGTCTGTGTAGACAAGCACGCCAATGACGCCATAGGGTGCTGCATTGATGGCCTGTGGAATTTGATAAATAGAAGTATTACTCTACACATCTGTCTTTTCACCAGTATGTAGCAGGTATCGCACCTTAGTAGCTTTGCTAACCACTGACAGTGACAACACTGACAATGAACATGTGACCTGCACGCTTGCCCAAACTTTTTAATTGCTTCATATTTGCCTTTATGGTCTTTTTTCACGGTGTTGACTTTCAGTGTCATTTGAATTTTGTTGGATAATTATCATTAGCTGATAGACAGTAGAACAGGATTCAAGGCGTGGTATTAAATCCTAATGCTGATTGCTGATTTGTACAATATAAAGAGTCGCAAAGTCAGTGCTTCACTTATACTTGAATAAGTAAATATATTAAAGATGTGTAAACCTCTTTCATCAAAATCTACCATTGCATCATTTATTAAGATTCTAATGTATATATATGTTATACTATATATAACACATAGTTATGTATTCTTTGATAAGAGTCTAGAAGTCAGACACTAATGAAAGTAGTTAGTAACTTACTTTATCTGCTCTTCCTGCTCCACCATATCTGGTGATAGCGATGGTTCCCCTGAGATCCACAGTCTGGTTCAACAGCTTATAATCACTGGGTTTCCCCTGATTGGCATAAACCAGTTTCCCCTAAAACCATCAGAAATGTCAACACTCTGTTAACAGCAGCAACTCAAGAAATGACCCAGTGGGCCTGTGCCAGGACTTGGTGATTTTTAAAAAATCTCTTTATGACATATGTTTATAAAAAATATATAGATTGTCCTTTTTAAGATTCTAAAAGATCTTCAACAATTCCTCCCCAAATCAACACTTTACCCATTGCGAGTCCTTTCACTAGACTATTGTTCTTATCTGATATTTCAAATAAAATGCAAGCAAAAGACTCTGGATTTATTTCCTTGTAGCAGCCTCCTGTTTCATTGCAGCTCAGATGGGCTCCTATTGGTTTATGAACTCAGACTAGACCATAAATTGTAACTGCACCACTACTCGATAAGATTTTCAAAAGGTTTTAGCCTTGAAGATGTCATATAAGTTGGGAAATACATTGTGTGGCACCAGAAATAAATGTGGCTTTTACCCAAGTGTGAAACAGCTAAGAAATTTTAAATCCAAGTTACTGTTCTTTTATGTTTTCCCCCTTTTCTTTTTAAGGTTTTCACTTTGTACAGTTTTACTTTTAGTGTACCACCACTAAACCATAGTTCACAGCAGGTCCTGACCCTGGTCTTGAGTCAATCAGAGAAATTAAGAAAAGGGGTCTCAAAGGTAACAGGTGTGTGGTTATTATAGATATTCTGTGGAATATTTGAAAGTGAAAGTAAGATATTATATAGGTATTTTATGATTTCTACATTTTTTCTCTTCAGTCATGCCTTGGTCATCTCTGCTTGGTGCTATGTAATACAGACCCCTGTAGAGGACAAACTTTACAGTTAAGGATACATAGCGATGTAGCTTTTTACCTTTGGGTGTCCAGCAGGAGAGTATGCAGCATATGGCTGAACCACCTCGGTGTCATTTTGGTCTGCTGAAAGCTTCTCTTTTTCTCTGACAGTGTGCAGCACAGTATCAGACGGGCTCACTGAAAGTAAAAACTCACTGTGACTGGGCTGTTACCAAATACATGCAATTGAACCTGGCAGAATAACCTCCTCAGTGTTAGACATCATGAAAATTTTATTAAAATCTTTCAGATTCAATTAGATTATCTTCAGTTTTTGTAGGAAGTTGGCTTGAATATGGAATGTAATATTATTTCTGAATAAGTTGGTGTTGTTGCAGCATGATGGGAAATATGAGGCGGGGTTAAGGAGTCTGGCTTTCCTGGGATAATCATGCAGATGTTACAGATAATATAATACAGTTTTACTGCAGCTGTCAGTGCACAAGAACATGATCACCCCATTCTTATTTCAACACACCAACCTGTTGACTCACCTACAGTGACTTTATTGGGGTTTTTGGGGTCAGGGAAGGACAGGTACACCATGTACTCCTCTCTCCAGGCCTGGTCCAGACCGGTTTCAGGGTCCTGCCATCTCTTTAGCATAATCTGCACCGTCTGCTCGTCTCCACGTGTGGTGGCCATGTGTGGTACTTTGGTCAACTCCCTGAGAAGGAATTCAAGGATAAAGAAAAACTGGATTCGGTAATACAGTGTGTTATCTATTGTACTAAAATTGCTTCCTTGAGAAAACACAAAGAGATCATGAAACCCGTTGAACTGTGTCTCTACTATTAAAAAATACTTTAAGAATGCATTATAGTAATGGAAAGAACCTTGTGATATTAAACCAATCCAACTAGACCTCATAAAGATGCAAATTATCCTTAATTCCTTTAAACTGAGAGACTTCAATGTGAAAACCGAATAAACCTCCTTGTATCTTTGGTAATAAATGGCTGACAGAACCACAGTTTCATCATCAACTCACCACAGGTTTTTCTCAATCTGGATGTTGTCCACAGCAGACAGGAACGTCTTGATGAAGCTCTCATCCACATCCTTCACCACATCCTGCACCCAGGACGGTGCCGAGTTGCTGCTCTTAGTGATACCAAAGTGCCCGATTAGGATACCAACAGTCAGTACAGCAGCAGCACACAGAACCCCAATCAACACCTGCTTGATCATTCTCTTCCCTGGAATGAGCTCCTCTTTAAAATAGTTCACCTCCTCTTTGCGTTGAGTCTTGTGCCTGATATTGTGCTTTCTCTAAAGGTCAGCCCTTTTTTCTTAAGTGAGTATTGCTTATGAACCCAGGTTTATGTAAGAGAAAACCATTACACCTGATCCCACTGATGATGACTGCAGTGCCAGTGAAGCTGCTGAAGTGACCTCCCATAAAAAGAGGCATGCTCGTTGTAAAGTTTACTTATTAATGTTTGCAGATGGGATGGACTTTATCCCTTTCTGAATGTGTGAGGGAGTTTAAAATCATTTTGTTTATTTTTTGCTATTGTTATACCCCAGTTCTTATATTGGACAGATCTGAGTAAGGAAGGAGTCCGTCTTTCTTGATTTTAGTGCTGGTTTATTTAAAAAAAAAAAAAATGAATAAAGATTACAGAGCACAATCTGGGTTGTTCCTCCTTCAGACAAGCTGTTGGAGAAGAGAGCAGAAGATCCCGGAAACACAGAGCCTAATACATTTATAAGATTTGGGTTAACCCCTTACACAGATGAAGTCCGTCCAGCAGACTCCATCTCTTATCTAGAGCTCCACAGGCTTGGAGCAGTTGCGTATTACCTAGTCATAACAAAATGAGGTAGCTTGATGTGTGTGAATGTTGTTACGTGGTGCGTAACTAAAACAATCATTCAGACATAAATCTAACACGAGATTAATACAAGAAAACAATTGGTGTCAAGGTACACTTATCAGAATCAACATTGTCTTCTAACCTTGAAGCAAAGCAGACTAGAGCAGGCTTTGAATCTTACTAAACTACATTACTAACACATTAAAGCCTAACACATTAATGCCTAATAATTATTTGACTGATTTATTCATTTTTAACACTATCAATAGTTTATTTCTGGGGTAGCATGGTGGCACACGGCAAGAAGGTTCCAGGTTTGAGCCCGGGCAGACCCAGTGTCTTTCTGTGCGGGGTTTATGTGTTTTCCCTGTGCCTGTGTGGGTTCTCTCCGGTTAGTCCAGCTTCCTCCCACAGTCCAAAGACATGCAGCTTAGGTTAACTGGCGACTCTAAATTGCCCATATTTGTGGGAGGGTGTGGTTGTCTGTGTGCGGTTAGTCAGTAAATACGTTTGATACGTGATAAGCTGACCCGAAGATGGGTCAGATGGGTTAATTCATTTATTTTTCCAATAAATTCCGGTTTTGTAAAAATTCGATTAATTTTAGTTAGTTCATTAAAATGTATTTAAGTGTGTGCGAGCGGTCAGAACGAACTGGATCTCAGAAACAGAAACTACGGCTTTTTAAATCAATGGCATATATTATTACATCTCATGACAACACGGAACTTCCTGGTCACAGTGGATGTTTCGTTCTATTTCCTGTCTCAGTACATTGTCGCTCCTGCTTTGCTGTCCAAGTGTAACCATGATGGAGTGATAGCCTACAGTAATGGTACTTCCGGGACTGTCTTCTGCAGACGTAAAAATACGTAGTTAAATTTTACTCTTACTTCCGGGACTGTCTTCTGCAGACGTAAAAATACGTAGTTAAATTTTACCATCTCTAATTCACAATCATATCACCACAGCTGGAAGTATTGATGATGCACTGAAATGACCACAGCCGATATGTGTCACAGTGGACAACGTTCCCCCTTGTTTCTCCCAGCATGCACTTCCTACTGCTTAATGTTTCACTTTCACTCCTGAATTATTTCTGATAGAACTGCGTGCAGAAGACAACACGGTAAGTTGAAATATTATGAAATACAGTACACAGCTGACTAATGTTAAGAACGGAAAATAAAAGCATCATAACGTCTCAGTTTTATGTATATAGTTAAGGTTTTGAGACCACGAATGGATGGAAATATCGAAAGTATGTTTTCGTCAGGTCACCATAGGGTTTATTTTCTTATTTAGGCTTCTGTGTTGCAGCAGTAGTTTGATTAAATATGCAGCTATCAATGTGTTTCTTTTTATAAACATGAGATGTATTAAAAATATGACACTGACGAAGAAATGATGCTAGTTAGTGTCTCAATGGGCTGTTAACTTAGACCTGGTTGTTCCCTAATAATTATCTTTGTCCTCAAGAACTTGGGAGATAAGATGTGTGCTCAAAATAAAATTAAACCAGAAAATGCACAATCAAGCTATAGTATTTCTGAATACAATCATGCATTTGTATGATATTTGTACTACAGGTGAGAGCATTTCCTGCTTCAGACGTCACCATGTCAGTGGCTCCTCTCCTGCTGCTGCTGCTGTTCGCTTCCCTTTCTCCCTCTTCAGGAGCACAGCTACCAAATCAAGGCCAAGCCCAAGATGTCCCCATTGCCACCAACGGCCAGGTGTTCCCCTGGGACCGCATGCGACTTCCCAAAACTGTATCGCCACTTCACTATGACCTGACCATCCACCCCAATCTGACCACCCTTGACTTCACTGGTGTTGTGCGTATCCTGCTAGATGTGCACGAAGACACTGACACCATCATTCTCCATGCCAAGCAGATGCAGATATCCAATGCACTGCTCCTGGCACCTGAAGGCGTGAGACCTCTTGGGGTGTTGGAGTATCCTCGTTTCCATCAGCTTGGCTTGCTGTCAGACTCAGTGTTGATCAAAGGTAGGAAGTATGAAGTTCAGCTGGAGTTTGCTGCCAATCTGTCTGACAGCTTCCATGGTTTCTACAAGAGCAGCTACCGCACCAGCAGCGGGGAGGTCCGGTAAGACCATTAAACTTATTTATTCCATTTTATTTAAGGTGCTGTGTGTATGTAGCAGTTCACCATCATCAAATCATTACCACATAAATTTTGAGCCATTCAAATAAATACAGTGATCAAAGAGCATGAGTATCAAGATTGGTGACATTTTACAAATGCATGTGAATGGATGACAACATAATTACCTGAGAAACAGCTGTACCATCAGTACTGGAAGTATAGGAAAGCCGTCTTGAAAAGTGTCTCACTGGTTATGTTAATTACAAATAGAACAAAGTTGGCAATAACAAATTGACATTCAAGATGCTACATAGAGCAGCTTTAAGTTTAGTTTGGTCTTCTGACAGCATTTTATGTTAAGTATGAAACTACTTTTATTTCACTATTACTGTACTTATTTACATTCTTAGCTCCTTGGCATCCACGCAGTTTGAAGCGACCTTTGCTCGTGGAGCCTTCCCCTGCTTTGATGAACCTGCCTTCAAAGCCAACTTCACCATACAGATTATACGAGAGCCGCGCCACATAGCCATATCCAACATGCCTAAGGTACACATGATGCACGAATATCAGTGGACTTTGTTATAAGTATAAAGGAGAAATTATTACTAATAAACACAGAGATCTGCCTTCATTGTTGCTGTCAGACTTTAATAATGAAATACACTACACAGTCTTGCGATTAAAGATACCAACTCACTGTATTGTGTCTGTAATGTACCTGTTGACCTCTACTTTCTTTTCTCCATTAGTCTCACTACACACCTTTGTTTCACAGGTTAAAACAGTGGAGTTGCCAGGCGGTTTGCTTGAGGATCACTTTGATACCACTGTAAAGATGAGCACTTACCTGGTGGCCTACATTGTGTCTGACTTCCTGTCTGTGAGCAAGACCACGCAGCACGGCGTCAAGGTGAGGATTACTTCTCTTAGAGATATTTGAAACCTTTTAACTGTTTTGGAGAGATGTTTGACTAGTAGTTGCTGGATAAGGTCAGTTATACTACATTACTTTATTAATAGTATTTTCAACACTCCACATGCAGAAACTAAAACCAGCAGTGAACTGCCTCTACTCACAGTTACTGTCTGTCAGTCTCCAACCTGGATTAGCTTATTTGTCTGTGCCACAGACCTCCATTTACTCTTGTTTTCTTTGCTGTAAAATGGTTGTTTGGGGCTTTTGGGGCAACATTGTTAACAGATATGTGGGTCTTGTGTTTCGTAATGAAGAAACGGTGCAGTGGTGTGTTTCACTGATGTGCTGTTAAACAACAGAGGTTTATGGCGCAGATGAACAAGCTGATCCAGGTTGGAGATATTAACCAGGAATAGAGGTTTAGTTGGTGTTAGTCTCTTTATAGGGAGTGTTGAAAATGATGTTAATGTAGAAAATGACTGACCATATCCCTTAACGTTAATACAGAAAAGCTTTTTCTTTGCTGTGATTCCCATCAGATTTCCGTCTACGCTGTACCTGAGAAAATCGACCAGACATCCTTTGCACTAGATGCTGCTGTCAAGTTGTTGGACTTCTATGATGATTACTTTGATATTCCTTACCCACTTCCCAAACAGGGTCAGTAGAAATATGTGTTACTACATTATTGTACCTGAATATCAGTAGCTTCAGTATGTGATTTTATGCTGTTTTGACTTACCAAGAGATTTATGTTGCATTATACAAAATGGTGTTGCTGTAATCAGTTTTGAAAAGAACTGGCAACATAATGCTGCAAAAAAGATTCATCATCTGTGGCTACCACTTTACCTTTATTAACCACTGAAAGTAGTGTGTGTGAGCTTTCATTTGTCTGTGGAAGCTGCGATTTGCATCACAAGTATGTCACATCCTTGTGATGGCAGGCAGGATAAATCAGGTCTAAGGCTTAGTGACATCACTTTTACTTTACAGCATGTGTATGTAAATTTAGGTTGAAGCATTTTAGTGTGCTAGTGTTCTGTGCCTGGACTAGTTAAAACATTTCTTTAATTTGGAATGAAAAGAGAACCTTTAAGAAAGCAAAGTTATTTTAAAAACAGGCAATATTTGGACCAGCATGTACCGGTATCATCTTTCGCTGTATCTATGTGCTTGATGTTGCTCTTTGCAGACCTGGCTGCTATCCCTGACTTTCAGTCAGGTGCCATGGAGAACTGGGGGCTGACCACCTACAGAGAGACCGGCCTCCTTTTTGACCCGGACAGATCCTCAGCTTCAGACAAACTGGGTATCACCAAGGTCATTGCCCATGAGCTCGCACACCAGGTAGCGGCACCTGCACCTGTTTTTGTCCATCAATAGTAGCTAAAAGATGAAGCATAAAAAAACTGGAGTATGTTGTTGTGGTTCTCCTTTCTGTACAAAATCAACATTGTGAGGAAGAATTGTGTGATTTTTTTTATGGGTTAATTGAAGCTGGGAGTCTACAGTGTCGACAGTGCAGCTTAACAGGCCCAAACATTTTAAGTAGCATTTGTTAATTACATCATATCCTTGTACCATAAGCTGTTCCTATGTGTTCTCCTGCTTATCCAGTGGTTTGGGAACCTGGTGACAATGGAGTGGTGGAATGACCTTTGGCTCAATGAGGGTTTCGCCAAGTTCATGGAGTTTATTTCTCTCGACATTACCTACCCAGACCTGCACGTGGTGAGAGCTGACTTGTATCTTAGTGGTCAGAGCAGACAAATCAGCCCGATCCTTTCACTTCCATGTCTGCTGTACAGTACAGCACAGCTTTTTCTCCTTCATACTCTCTCCTGGTTAAATTCAGAAATTATTTACTTCCATAACAATAAAGTTATTAATGTTACAATGTAGTATAGTATTGTACATTATCTGAGTAACTGTGATGTCATCAGCCTTTACAGTATTTTTAGACATTACAGTGGGTGTATTATTGTAAAACATGTTAAAATGTTGTTATGGGCGTCCTCCTTCCCCTCTCTTCCTCCCAGGATGACTTCTTCTTGGGAAAATGCTTTGAGGCCATGGAGGTGGACTCCCTCAGCTCCTCCCACCCAGTTTCTACCCCCGTGGAAAACCCCACACAGATCCAGGAGATGTTTGATGATGTGTCATACGACAAGGTCAGCTTCACTCTGTCAAAGGACCAGCAGTTATCACTTGAAGTATTTAATCACGCAACAGAAAGTATTTAGATGCCTATTTTCTTTTAGGGAGCATGTATTCTGAATATGTTGCGGGACTTCCTGACTCCAGAGGCGTTTGAGATAGGCATCATCCGATACCTCAAGCGCTACAGCTACCAAAACACTGTCAACAGCCACCTGTGGGAGAGCCTGACCAATGTGGGTGTTGATGGCACATTTACATCATAGACAATACTTTTGTTCACTGTTATGCTGTTTAAATTATAACATCAATCTATTTTAGTGAGGTGGTCACTCAGAGGTCAGAAAATTGTGCTGAAAATTTAAGGTCTAAACATCAGTTAGCTTAAGCAAATAGGACCAGCCATGTAAGTAATGCTTTTGGCCAAGATGCCGCTGCATAATGGTTAACATCTGGTCAAAGTGACCGGTTTCAGAAAGTGTCTGTTGATGTGGTGACACTAGATCTTGCATTCTTACTCAGTACTTAACATGGCCTGTCTTACTTATTTATTACCAGGTTTAAAACATTTGCAACCATTAGCTGAAGTTGCCTGTAAGCATCAGAATCTAAACGGTTATAACTTCTGGTAATGGTGTGTGTATTCCCCCACCAGATCTGCAACTCAGATGGTCTGGACGAAGGGCGAATGGAACACAAACAGTTCTGCTCCAAACATCACCTGTCCTCTGGAAGTTCTGTAAGTTCTCATGATTTGTAGCAACAAAGTGCAACAGAACACTCTTGCTAAGCAAATAGACCCCAGTAATTATAATGGCAATAAGATCAGCAAGTATGATAAACGGTACAGGATACTTGGCTGTTTACTACATAAATTCAATATTTGTGTGTGCATTCTGTATAAAGAAATGGTACGCTGATGATGAGCTGGATGTCAAAGCCATCATGGACACTTGGACGCTGCAGGAGGGCTTCCCGCTGGTCACTGTGGAGGTCAGAGGTCGGGAGGTCAGGCTCAGTCAGGAGCGGTATCTGAAGACAGACGACCCCTCCCTCACTGAAGGGTAAAATGTGCCATGGCAGATAACACTAGTATACACAAGTCTAGCACCAGGTGGTGACAAAGGATTGACATTTTACAACAAGCATTTAGTGAACAGCGTCCTTTTCACTTGCTAAATATACATCTTCAATATTTGTCACATTTTATTTTGCCAATCGTTAACATTGTTTTAAGGTTTTTAATTTTATTTTTTAACATTATCACTGGTTGTTGTTAGATTCCTGTGGCAGATCCCACTGACCTATAGAACCAGCGCCTCCGCCACCACTCACCGCTTCCTGCTTAAGACAAAGAGTGGTGAGTATGTTGCTTATTGTGATGCGGCTCATTTAAAAAAAAATATTGTTTATCCTTTCTTTCCTCTATTGTTTATCCACATACATAAAATTTAAATGATCTTAATGATTCATCATTATTGAAATAGGTCCTCTTCACTTCAGAATTTGTCTTTACTCCTCCTCCGTACAGACGTCTTGTACCTGCCAGAGGAGGTGGAGTGGGTGAAGTTCAATGTGGACATGAGTGGCTACTACATGGTCCACTACGCAGGCGAGGGATGGAAGTCCATTATCAAACTACTGCAAAATAACCACACAGCCCTGAGCAGCAACGATCGCGCCAGCCTCATCCACAACGTTTTCCAGCTGGTCAGGTCTGTTTAAAGACTGGAACCCGTGTTTATCTGGCATCAGCCAAACTGAAAATACTGTGAAATAAAATGATTGTCAAAATGGACAAAACTACAGAATGACGTTGCTTCTAATCAACATCATCCTGTGGTGTATGTTGCAGTATAGGGAAGGTGAGACTGGACACAGCACTGGAGCTGTCTCTGTACCTGTCCAAAGAGACTGAGATCATGGCTGTGACTCAGGGCTTTGGAGAGCTCGTACCTCTCTACAAACTAATGGAGAAGAGGGACATGGCTGCTCTGGAGAACCAGATGAAGGTTGGTGAAGGCAGATGAACATTCGCAGTGTGTCACTTGGGACAGACAGTGTCCCATGTATGTCAGTAAAATTGGTGACAGTTAAAGTTGAAACTAGTTGATGTAGTTTAGTTGAAGCTCTTGATTGAGGTGCATGTAACTTTATACCTTGGCCACTTGTGTTTCTCAGGGTTACATTGTGAATCTATTCCGGCGGCTGATTGATCGGCAGGAGTGGGCTGACTCTGGGTCAGTGTCTGAGCGAGTGCTGAGGAGCTACCTGTTGCTTTTTGCCTGCGTCAGGAACTACACTCCCTGTGTGACCAAAGCCACCCAGCTCTTTAACAAGTGGAAGGACTCTAACGGCAACATGAGGTTGGGGGCCACAGCTCTAAATAGCACCGTGATAGTTAAACAACTACTACCTGTGGTCTGAGTTGTACTTTGCATATTTCTATGTAAAGATAAACAGTTTTCAGTAGTAGTTTCTGAATTGAATGTCTTCACTGTTTCTAGCCTCCCTGTGGACATCACAATGGCTGTGTTTGTGATTGGAGCTCGAACACCAGAGGGATGGAACTTCCTGTTTGAGAAGTACCGCCATTCACTGCAAATGTCCGTCAGGAGCCGCATGAAGACTGCCATGGCTGTCAGCCCTCTGCAGGACAAGCTCAAGTGGTGTGTATATTTTGTAAACTGCAATACATCAGTAAATCTTCCTTAAACAAATGGGAATCATAATTTCCCTTGCTCTTTATCTACCTCTGGTTCTCTGTCTGCAGGATGATGGAGCAGAGCCTCCATGGTGCGGTGATGAAAACCCAGGACCTCCCAGATGTGGTCGTCACTGTCAGCAAGAACCCCCATGGTTACAAACTGGCCTGGGACTTCCTCCGAGCCAACTGGCATACCCTGATCAAGAAGTGAGTTGGGCCATCACTCATTTTTAAGCTACACCTGTTTAATCAGCCTCATTTACAAAATGGAGCTATACTTAAAACAAACGTGTCATCGTGTCCCTGACATATGATCACAGATTTGTACTTGTTTGCTTTTTATCAGGGAGGGAGAGAGTCGTGTTTTGCAATTTGTGCGAAGTTTTATCAGATGATTTCTAGTTAGATACTTTTTCATTTAGTCTGCCTCCTACCACAGATGCTGCCTACAAGCTGTCATGGTTAAAGCTGAGAAGAAGAGGGGAGAGAGCTTCTTTAAACTGCAGAGAGTTGATTCAAACTGATAACCTATGTTTTGTGACTGTGTGTCAGCCAGGACTGACTCATGATTGTAACATACTTCCTTGTCTACAAAGCACTTTCTAAAAAAAAACTCATATGGTGGCCCTGTGTCTTCACCTGTTTCTAAAGTTTACAGGAAGATGTTAACAGGTTTGAGTAGTCTGAACTTTGAATTATTTTTGACGTTGTTCGCTCTGATGCCACAGGTTTGACCTCGGCACCAACTCTTTATCATACATGGTGAATGGGGTGACCAACCAGTATTCTACCAGGGAGATGCTAAATGAGGTAAGCAAGGCTGTGTCCACTATATCTCCTGGGCTTTTATTACTTTGGATAAAAAGCATGGCCAGTTGAAACCTACTGATGTGTAGTTTTATTTTCCACCATTTGCTTTGATAGAAAATATTGAGACTTGTTGCTTGTTGCAAGCTTGTTCAGAGGATAAATCTGTGTATTCTGTGTATTTAAGTCTTTCTCCTGTGTGTGCGCTCAGGTGCAAAGCTTTTTTGGCTCCCTGACCGAGGAGACGGGTTCAGAGATGCGGTGTATCCAGCAGACCTATGAGACAATCGAGGATAACATCCGCTGGATGGACACCAACCTTCCTCTTCTGCAGGCTTGGCTGGACAAACATAGTCACAGAGTTGGCATGCATGTAGAGTTGTAGCTCCAGGGGACACAAAAAAATCTAGTGTGAATAACTATGTTGCTAAATGATAGTAAGGTCTAGACTTTACTTTGTAAAGTGGCACTATACAAATAAAACTGAATTGAATTTAATTGAATTAAAGGCAGAACTGCTAGAGGTGTGGATGCGAGCAGCATCTCCTGAAGTCAGACTTGACAAAATCACAGATTTGATGACTGTATACATGACGACAAAATTCAAAAAGCTTCACAATTGAACACCAGTGAGTTTCAGATACTGTGTGTCATTTCAGTGCATATTATTAATTTCCACAAACTTCACTGATCTGACTTGTGACTTGCAAAACAGTGCCACCTCTGCCCCTGTCTTGCATCTCAGTCAAGAGATCTAAGTAATTGGAGATTTACTTAAAGAACCCCCATATGGTAGAGGTTTGAGGAGGCAACCGATCAAACCTCAGTCATATGGTAGATCACATAGCTACCAGTTCAATATGACGAAATGGTTCCTCCTCACTGTTGTGGTTCAAAGAAGTTCACTGTTTTATCAAAAGACGTTTTTGTAGTGTAGCTTTCTAAAGAAAGCGCTCTGCAACAGACATGGCACCTGATCATTTATGCTCAGAGCTGTTGGAACTGTCTCTCTGTGTTTGTATGGGTTTGTTGTGGTGTGTATGTGTGTTGGGTGAACTTTTATCTGAAACTTAATGTTTGTAGGTAAGCGCAGTGTTGCAAGTCTGTCTGCTGTGTGAAGCTGAAGTATCACTGCAGATGGCAATAACCTACTTACTGTACAGTGTTGTACTACACAGCAGACACTGGATTTTTCTCAGATTTTAGAATGTACAAATGACTCCTGACAAATCAAACACACAATAACATATTTAATATTTCCTTAAAGGAAGAAGTGAAAACAATTCTTCCTGCCTCCAGCCTTCAGTAAAAATGATACAGACTGTGGGAATATTCACAAAAGCTTCCTAAATGACCATGGAAACAAAGAGAAAGCAAAAGAAAAAAGTCCATGAAAATGCACTATAAGGAATGTTTTGTTATAAAACCAATGTTTGTTTATTGAACTTTGAATGTCTTATTTTTGTGCTAATGTGAAATCTCTCTTTTGTAGCACAGAAGTCACCAAATCTGTTATTCCCAAAGAAAATATTTGTTGGTTAGATAAAATTTTGAACTAATAAAGATAACATTTCCTTAATTTCCATTTGCCTTTCAATAATTGTATTGTATTCTGTTACTTCCTGATACTAAGTTTAGCCCAGGGAGTGGTATAAGGGCAACCATTGTACCTTTTCACTTCTCTGATCATTAGGTCATATGCTATTAAGTTGTAAAAGTTATATTTCCAAATATGTGGTGTGATTTCATTTTTGTTTTGTCTATGCTCAGTCACATAAACACGCACACACAGTGTAGGCCAAACTACTCAAGGTGTATTTGAATTTAAAGGCTTAAAAGCAAACTCAGTTTTTATGAATTAGTTTCATCTGTCACGTGGCAGCAGTTGAATGTCGTTCTCTTATGCTCAGGAAGAGATTTTTCAAGTCTAGCAATTACCTCAGATGATGTCACTGTGAAATGTAGGATTTGGTATTTTTGGAGCTTGGAATTTTCAAATGTTTTAGGGAATAAAGCTCAACATATTTCACACTTTTGACTACTTTCTTTTTAATCTGTACCTAGCTAGTCCCCTGGTTTATGGATGTGCAGTTTCGAATAATAAATCCTTGAAGTACTCCTTTAAATCTGATTCAAGCTCCACTGATCCCTAATGTCAGAGCCCCTGTGAGAAACAATAAATTAAACAAAAAGAACAATGCCTAAATTTAATTTTAAAAAGTCAAATGAATGAATGAACCCTACAAGTTTTCCCCCACTTGAGTTAACAGTCATATTGCCCTTCCTGTGCTGCTCCTGTTTCTAAGGTGAATAACCTTTTAGCTGAGGCCTTGTGGAGAATGGCAGCTGTTACTTTAAATCTTCTGATGCTGCCATAAATTCCTCTGATGGACCTTAAGCACAAACTAATAAAACAAACTGTCCACCTGATAAAACACACATGCATTCATACTGTATGGAAGCATATATTGATACATGGAACACTTGAATGAAAGTTAAAAACTAGCTTGAACATCGTTGGTATAGAAAACAATACTTCAGTTTCTGAAAGTGTTTTAAGGCCTGATATACTGAATTTATATATATGCTGAGATATCCGCTCCCTCCTGTGCACGTACACACTCACGTATGCACCGCCCCCTCATCAGCACACCCGCAATAGCAATTGCACTCTGCTCCAGTGAGTTTGCCCTCACAGTCCTACACCTAAGCAGAGCTGTCTCTGGATTGAAGGTAAGACTCTGTAGCCCGTCTTTCTGCTTGTACTTCCTGATGATGAAACTTATTACTCTACTACTGCTGAAAATCGATGCAACAGTGCTGTTTATTTGTTTAGTCTATGTCTACAGATCTGGGCCCTGTTTAAACATTGCTCACTGACCACAGGTTTGTGAATTTTGACCTCACCTCCTGTGTACCAGGGATGCGATTTTTATAGTCTTCTTGTGCTTTTGTTTAATATATGGGCATATTCAAGTAGTAATTTACTACACCTCAAATTAATGTAGAGTTTTTGTTTCCCTATGAGTACAGATGAAAAATTGAGGAAATGGGGCTACAATTAGAGTCCAGGTAATGAACCCTAATCTCTGATCAGAACACGTGATAAACTTTGGTCACAGAGCCACAATTTCCACCTTCCGAGAAATAAACGGACAGCGTACGAACAGTGACAACTTGTTCACAGTGACTTGTTTGTACTGTAGCTTACCTGAGGCAAACTTGCTAATTTGGTCAGAGTGCCAGACTCGTGTGGAAGAACTGTGTCTGGAACATGTTTTGGGGAGTCCTGTCCCCCTTTTGTTATAGATGACATGAAGGCAAATTTATTTGTGACTCATAGGTGTTATTCACAATTAAAACTAAAGAGAGATCAGATCAGATACCATTAGAAGTTCTAACACTGGGAATGTTGAGAGTATGAATAAGAATTCTGGTCCTTTGTGGTGACATTTTTAGTTTTATTGAATTTCTCATATACAGTAGCTAACAAAAGAAAATACATTGTAAGAAATGTGTTACAAAAAGAGCCCTTTGGTTTATTCACAGTAGTAGTAGATTATGCTACAGTAAAATCCCTTTTTATTGAATATTTATGGCAATTTTGAACATAACTGCACATTGTATCTAGACCACAGACCCTGCTGTGTCAGGCTTTGCTTGTTGTAAGCATGTCAGTATTCCTGTTGATCACCTGACAGCTTTAGTGGACCAAATGTAATCATCATACATTTGGATTTTAACTCCAGTATGACATTATGGTGAGAAAGGTTCTTTTGTATGTGTTGACCGTTTATGTGTCTATTATCTTTCCTAGCAGCCAGCAGAGACAGGCAATAAAATATTCTTGGATGTGACGTCTAGAACATAACATTTATGCTTCTTAAGTTCAAGGTACATTTTCCTGCTGGTCCTTCACATGGGCCTATCCTCAACATGGGCCTACCTTAAAGTAGTCCAACAAGTCAAGCATGTCCAAAGCCTAAAATGTTAAGCTGCTATATCTCAGAAATGTTAGATAGTTAGGTAAATAAAACATTTAATTAGAGGCAAAATCAGTATTCAGTGTTCTGTGTGTTCCTTTTTAGGTTGGTACTTCACTTCCATTTTGGGACATCAAGGGTTTATCCACAAAGCTCTCAGGATGTCCACTCAGTACTTCACCATTTTTGAGTAAGACACATTTTTTCATCTATAAGCGTCTCTGTTAATTAAGTCAATCCTTTTTACTTGTTGATATTGACCTTACTTCCTCATGTGGCATCTCACAGACCCAGCAACTTGATAATAATTGGAAATCAACCATTTTATTGTCCTTCCTTCCTTCTGTTCAGACTTAAACCAGCAATGTAACTCTTGTTGCACAATAGATGGTGTTGAAATAGGTAATATGATCAGTGAACATTATACTTACACCAAATGGTTATGTATTTTATTATGTATATGTTATATGGGCTACAGTGATGTTACTTACTGTATGTTTGGGAGAGAGGTCTAAATTTGTGGTATACTCCTTATGAACAACCTGTAATAAAACTCCAATAACAAAGGTAGTGCTGTGCAAAAATACTGTCATCACTATAGTGCATATAAAAATCCATTATAAGTCACCATGTTTTACAGGAGAGGTTTTGGAAATCCCAAACAGAATAATGTATTGTTGTCTGTGGTGGATCTAAAGTATCATCCTGATGTGTCTCTCACTCTTCCCACAATCTCTCTATCTTTCTCTTCTTTGCCCCCATTTCTTAACCCTTCTCTTAACACATTCTCCTCTCCAAGGATCTTTGTTGGTGCCGTGGGCTTCGGGATACTCATCTTGATCTGCGCCATCTCCTGCCTGTGCCAGAGGAAGTGCAGTTACTTAAGGAATGAGCAGATACAAAGGGAGATCCTGAGAAGTGGCGAGCAGGACAGGCAGCCACATTCAGTATATGTCATCCCCTTCCCTGGAAATACGTCACAGCGGGGCAGTGAAGAATACCTTAGGATACCTGGATACAACCAGGAGCTCCACTCATCTCCACAATACAGCTCTGATGACTACTGTGCACCTCCACCTTCCTATCATGAGGTGATTCTAAAACAAAATCATTTGGTAACAGATAAAAACTGAAAGCTTTCCTAAACCAGACCACTTCCTCCCTCCTTCCTGCAAATATAATGAATAACATCTACCTCAGTTTGTATTTCCTGGCATTTAAATTTGACCTTTGTGTTTCTCTCTATGTATTTCAGCTGGGATTCAAGTCTGACGATCTTCCCCCTCCATACACAGAACATAACATTCCAGTGATAACACCTCCACTGCACACAGATATGGCACCATCGCAAACACAGTTACAAACATAAGCCGGGACCATCACACTGTGTCACTGTTGAGGTCATGGACAGTCTTGATTACTGCACTGCCTCATTTACTTGAGTGAAATGGTAAATGTAATGGACTGTAATGTTTTAAAGATTCTTTCTCCTGCGATTTTTTTTTATTGTAGTAATGAATGAATGTAATGATGGCACAGATAGGATGAAAGCTGCAGGGATACCAGTGCCGCCTGTGCACAGCACAATCTCCAAGTCAATAAACCACTTAAAACTGAAAAATATTTTTTTTCCCCATATACTGTATAATACCTATTAAAAAGGCATCTGTGTGCATGACGTGCCTAATCAGTGTTGTTACCTCCACCATGGGAGTTGTGTTTTTAGGCCTGTGCTTTTGCATGTCTGTCTGCTGCAAGTTATTGTTGAAATTCAGTGTAAAACCAGGTGAAGATCCTAACCCAATGGTGCCACCATGTGGCCATTTGTAAAGCACTTGGTTTTGTCTCATGTCTTCTGAATCATGAGAAGTCTGCCATTTCAAGCAAATTGATGGCCCAAACAGATGCCCATAAGTCCAAAGCAAGAGAGTATAGGCTGTAATTTGTTCTATTTTCTTCTTCTTTTGTTTTAATTGTCTTTGTGGTGGCTTTGGACCAACCCACTGCTAATCACTGGGAGATTTGTGAAGATTTGATTGAAGTATGTGTGTAATATCACCCAAATTTCTGCCAGTGCTGCTCACATATTCAAATTTGCAAACTAAATATTTATGTGTATATATTTAATTTTATACTATCTAATATGGTGTTAATAATGATGGTGTCACATGTGCATATTATAAACAATAGTGTCCTTCATTTAAGAATTTAATTTAAAATGTATTTTAACAAGAGTGGAATAAAAGTTGATCTGTTTTGCAAAGATGCAGTGATGTGACTTCTACTTGGCTCAACAATCATCTGGGATGAAGGAGAATCACAGCATTAACATCTGCTCTCTGTCCTCTGTCACACCAAGTTTTCTGTCTCACAGTTTCTGTCTCTTCCCTCGCCCCTAAGGGCTTCTTATTTCCACTACTCATCCTGTCTGCTGGGTGCTCCTCTGCTCCTCAGGACTCCCTGAAAGGTGAGTGTTGAGAGAGTCCTGACTGTTTGAATCTGGAGAAGACATGTGGGATCATGGAACAGATTTACTGGGGGAAACCAAAGCCTGTGAGGGTTGCACAGACAGAAAGACCAGGTAATATAAAAAGGGATGGATGGGATGTGTTTATGTCTGCGTATTGAAACATGCTGGTCAAAGAAAACAGTGAGAGAGTTGATAAAGTTATGCAGAGTTACGTCTGTGTGTGTTTGCGTGTCTAAGTCTGTTGAATGATGGCTGAGTACAGTTGCTTTTATTACCAGGATGACCCACCACTCTCTTTCCTTCCATTCTCTTTATCTTACTCCTCCCGTGCTGCTCTTCAATATGAATACACACTGGAGAGTCACTGGCATTACACTGCCGGATGACGTTCTCCAGGAGTCTCTCCCTGTGCTGCTTTTTTTGTCTGGCCCTCATCACCATTTCGGCTGTGACTCTTTATTAACACTCTCATATCTGCATGTGTGTGGTTTGTATGTCTGTGACTGTCTTTGGTTTGGCAAAACCATGAATGTGTCCCAGGAAGAACCATGCACGCTGATGTAATATGTTGTGTGAGGAGAGGCAAATGTCACCACCCACCTTTTAGTAACTTTTTAAAAAATGAATGCAACATATACATTTGTCTGTTTTCTCTGGCTTAATGTTTTGTTTTCTCAGGTCATCTGCTGAAACTCTGGTTTGTGTATTTCTTTTGTGAGTCACCATATTCATCCACTGCGCTGTTACCATAAGAAGTGCTCAACCAGAAAATTGTTTTTATTGGTGTGATGTCTTTTATAAAATCCGATCACTAACTCTGGCTGATTTAGAGATCTTGTGTTAGCTGGAGGCTCTGCCCCTGACCAAAAATAATCATTTAGGCAATGTTTGTTTTTGTGTGTGCATGTGTTATCGCATTAATGGGGCAGGGGTGGTAACTATGGAGCTGACTCTGGGAGGGGTGTTTGTTGATGAATAACATTTCAGTGTGTGCCAAAATGGTGTGTGTGTATGTGCTTGTGTGATAGCCCTGCTCAGCACAGGTAAAGATCACATGTCTATTTAAAGACAGTGATTCTCCTCTGACCAGCTGGTCAGAGTGTTTTAGCACTTGCTGTGGTGTGGTTTGTCTGTAGGACCATGTCCCCTTTATCACAGTATAAGAGCAGGATGTTGAGTGTATCTAATTCTGGCACGAATGAAACCTATTTTAAATGGCGTTTTTAAAACACTGTTAGCTCAGTTTGTCCCACTGTGATAAAACATCACGTTGCATTAGAGTCGGTTAGAATGTTAAAATGCTGACGCCTCCAGTGTGACCCAGTGACTAAATTAATTTGCATCAGCAGCACTGTTAGCCCTTCAGAATTATGACCTGACAAACCACCAAATGTTTTTGTGTCACAAGCACACACATGCTTGAGCTATAGAAAGATTAATGACTAGATAAGCCAAGACTTGAAGCTGGAGCTGGAAGTAGCATTGAAAAACATATGCAGTAAAACCAGTATTTTCATATTCGATCCACATTTCAACTTTTTTTTAATACACAGGGAAACTCTGTGGGCTTTAGCTTGATGAAAGCTTTCAAATTTACTCTCAAATACATAGTGGTCAAACTAAAAACAGGACTGTTTTTCCTAATTTCTCAGCAGAATACTTACATTCATAATGTGCTGGAATATTCCTACATGTGTTTAACTGGCAGTGAACAGTTATTAGACTACATAACCCTCTTCATTTCATTCCTACTTCTCATTTCAGTATTAAACCACTTTTGCATTATAACCGGTTAAAAAAGGAGAATTATAACCCTTTGAGAAATCTCACACTGTTGAGCCATGGATTGGTGGAGTGATGACGCTGCGAAGCAGAAGCTTTAACGCTATACAGTGGTGTAACAGGTATTTTGAATACCTCTCTCATAGGCTGATCATTTTGTCACTGACAATCACTAAGAGAAGGACAATCAGTGGACTGTATTACTGTATGTACAGTGGTGTGAAAAAGTGTTTGCCCCCTTACTGATTTCTTATCTTTTTGCATGTTTGTCACACTGTAATGTTTCAGATCGTCAAACAAATTTATATATTAGTCAAAGATAACACAAGTAAACACATCATGCAGTTTTTAAATGAAGGTTTTTATTATTAAGGGAAAACAAAATCCAAAACTATATAGCCCTGTGTGAAAAAGTGTTTGCCCCCTAAACCTAATAACTGGTTGGGCCACCCTTAGCAGCAACAACTGCAATCAAGCATTTTTTTCTAAAGCTTTGGGACTGCAGCGAACCACAGTGAGAGCCATTATCCACAAATGGCGAAAACATGGAACAGTGGAGAACCTTCCCAGGAGTGGCCGGCCGACCAAAATTACCCCAAGAGCGCAGCGACAACTCATCCAAGAGGTCACAAAAGACCCCACAACAACATCCAAAGAACTGCAGGCCTCACTTGCCTCAGTTAAGGTGAGTGTTCATGACTCCACCATAAGAAAGAGACTGGGCAAAAATGGTTTGCATGGCAGAGTTCCAAGACGAAAACCACTGCTGAGCAAAAAGAACATAAAGGCTCGTCTCAGTTTTGCCAGAAAACATCTTGATGATCCCCAAGACTTTTGGGATAATACTCTGTGGACAGACGAGACAAAAGTTGAACTTTTTGGAAGGTGTGTGTCCCATTATGTGTGGCGTAAAAGTAACACCGCATTTCAGAAAAAGAACATCATACCAACAGTAAAATATGGTGGTGGTAGTGTGATGGTCTGGGGCTGTTTTGCTGCTTCAGGCCCTGGAAGACATGCTGTGATAAGTGGAACCATGAATTCTGCTGTGTACCAAAATATCCTGAAGGAGAATGTCCGGCCATCCGTTTGTGACCTCAAGCTGAAGCGAACTTGGGTTCTGCAGCAGGACAATGATCCAAAGCACACCAGCAAGTCCACTTCTGAATGGCTGAAGAAAAACAAAATGAAGACTTTGGAGTGGCCTAGTCAAAGTCCTGACCTGAATCCAATTGAGATGCTGTGGCATGACCTTAAAAAGGCAGTTCATGCCCGAAAACCTTCCAATGTGGCTGACTTACAACAATTCTGCCAAGATGAGTGGGCCAAAATTCCTCCACAGCGCTGTGGCAGACTCATGGCAAGTTATCGAAAACGCTTGATTGCAGTTGTTGCTGCTAAGGGTGGCCCAACCAGTTATTAGGTTTAGGGGGCAAACACTTATTCACACAGGGCTTTGTAGTTTTGGATTTTGTTTTCCCTTAATAATAAAAACCTTCATTTAAAAACTGCATGATGTGTTTACTTGTGTTATCTTTGACTAATATATAAATTTGTTTGACGATCTGAAACATTACAGTGTGACAAACATGCAAAAAGATAAGAAATCAGTAAGGGGGCAAACACTTTTTCACACCACTGTATGTATACTTATTATTAATCCTTTTAAAAGTTGCTGTATTAAATAACTGGATGGTATCTGAAGAGATTTAATTTGGAGGAGACAAATAGTGTGCACATCTGTGAGTGGGACAGTGTGACAAGTGAACTTGTCTAACAGAATATACTCGTTGACATTGCTGTAAATTATAGACCCATGTTTACAGGATTAGGACAATAAATGACAGAATAAATACATTTTTCTTTTATGGAATTATGCAAGAGTACAGCTGTACCCAGGGAGACAATGGGTGCTCACAACTGATGCAGTGAGGGGGGTGGTGGGTGTAAACACGTTCTTTCTCTTTATTCTGTGGTTGACACGAACACAATGACAACTATTCTCTGGCTTCATGATTTTAATGAATTCAAAAAGGGCGACAGAGGCAAAGTGTTTTGTATGCAAGCACAGCTGTATGTAATTTCCTTTTGGGGGTTTTTCCATAACTTTGACTGGGTTGGTTAGCGGATGCACTGGAAGATGGCTTCAAACCAGTGCTGGAAAGTAACTAACTACATTTACTCAAGTTCTGTACTTAAGTACAGTTTTGAGGTAGCTGTACTTTACTTTATTTTCATTTTGTGCTACTTCATACTTTTGACTTCACTACATTTATTTTATTATTTTAGTTACTAGTTTCTTTTCAGAGCCAGATTAATAGAGAAAATACAGTGTAATCATCAGATTGTGTTGGTCTCTGGTGGAAAATTCACACAGCAGTATGTAAGGTACTTCAAATTATAAGCATATAAAACTAGCTCCCCCTTAAGCAGCTGCAACATTAAATGTGATGTACACAATAATGCATCAGCAATTGTAATTCAATAATAAGATATACATTAATGTTAAATGTGCCTTTCCGAATAATGAGTACTTTTACTTTTATTACTTTAAGTATGTTTTGATGCTAATACTTTGGACCTTTACTTAAGTAACATTTTGAATGCAGGACATTTACTTGTAACTGTTTTTACATTGTTGTGTATTGCTACTTTTACTTAAGTAAGGTATCTCAGTACTTCTACCACCACTGTTTCAAACCTTCCCCTTAGTGTGAAGTTTCCTGTTTCCAAAAGTATTTCTATGATTATTACCTTTATTTCATTGTGAGCACTTCTCACTTTGTTCTTAGTAGTAAATATATCACCTGGTGTTCCAACTAATTATTAAAATGTGTTGTATTTAAATTATTTCTATGATATGGCACTCAGGAAAACAATATTTCCAAAAACATACTTGCACAAAATGATAGGTATGTTGACAGAAACGAGGTAAATTACAATAACATTTTCTGGTTGGCTTGTCATCTTTAAAAATATAACCCACTAGAGTGAATAAAGGTAATCTGAGAGGCAGAAACCCCCTTTTCGTATCAAGATATTAGCTGCAATCACTTTCTGGCAAGGTGATGTAGTGGTTACAGTCTATTTTATAGGCTACTTAATAGCTACAAAGGTACTGGATGGTTCATCGAGGTTCAAGTTTTACAAAAACATTTACCACGTCGTGTCTATTTCTGCAGTATTACTGCAGCTGTAAACAGGCAGCGCGCTCCCTGTCAGCAGTCAGTCTCTGGCACAACAGCTGGTTTGGCGCACAGCAGTTTTGAAAGCGATTGTTACGCGGCTCCGTGTAGCCAGCAACTTCACGGATACTATGTCCGAAAAGGATTTGTGATCGAGGAAAGGGGCCTGGCACTTGGACCTCAGTGGTTGCATAACATTGCCAGCAGGTAGCCCACCTCCAACTTCTCTCTGAGCTGTCGTGCTCGTGCCTGTGTGTTAGGCACACGCCCCCCATGGTTCATCTCAGTCCTCCCATAGGATCGGTGCTTTATAAAGGTCCCCCTTTGTCAGTCTGCCTCGCTGCTCGCTCCAGTGTTCAGGTCTCTCTTGTATCCATCAGCGCGCATTAAAATGCCCAGCAAGAGGAAGAAGAACAAACGTCGCATGCGGGGGGTGGTAAGTGGTGCCAGGGCACTTCTGTGCACTTCAGTTTTATTCTATTCACATATTCTGCGCTTGTGGGACTTCAGTGCAATATGAACTGAAGTCAGTGGAAACCTTCTACTAGAAAATGTGGATGAAGTGACATTTTTGGCAAATTGTGATGGTGGTTGTTTAAACTCAGGTTGTTGACTGTATCTCGTTTTTGTTCACTTAACCCACACTGACTGCTGATGAGTAAACATACAGATCCTGCTCATAATAGTGCATAATATGAATACGTGTTTACACGCATGGCCAAGTTATGATTCTAAGATTAAATAGAAACATTAACATAGAGGTGACCAATCGACAAGCTGTCTTTATTAGCACATTTTTTGGTCTTAATTCTGTTAATGTCCAGTTTTTGAGTGCGCACAATCACGCTTTCCTGTTGCTTTTATTATGACGCAATCAGTACCAGAGCGATCCAAGCTCCCAGGACAAAATCCCGCAAAGATACAAAGGCTGCACCGAAAACGCACTAGAGGAGTTTATGTGGTACTTATACAGTAATTATACAACCAGTTATAGCTGATATGCTTCTAGTTGTGTTATTAGGCACAAACACAGGTGTTAACTTCTTGGTAACTCCTGTGCGTCCTGTTCGTTCGCATTTCTGCGGTTATTAATCGTGGGAGATGCATATGCATGGATTAGTAAAAAAAATAAAAAAGGGACATTTTCTGCTTGGGAGCAAAGCAGAAAACAGACCCCGACCTCTCATACACACACGCGCGCGCGCGCGTACACACAGCCTTCCTTGTAATGTTATACTGTACAAAATGTAATATGCTGAATCAGCAGCGGGTGTGGCAGAGAGGGGAGGGGAGTTTAATAAATGAGCAAGTAGCCCAGATGCTCCAGTTTGTCAGATGACAAAGACAAACACTGTTCCAATGTCATGTTTTGACAAAAATTTTATTTCAGACTACGCTCTATTTTCTAATTTCAAATAAACAACAGCCACTTGCTTTACTACTTCAGGCTCACTTGAAGCCCGGTCTTCCAGCTCTGGTAAGACTTCCCAGTATGGAGTTAGTGGCATTCTTCCTCAGCTCCCCCTCCTCCTTTAGCCTCTCAAGTGAACACCACACAACTGTATTTGGTAGTGTGCTGACTGGAGGAATGTCTTGCCTTAGCTTTGCCAGATTGGAGTCTGCACAATCTCTCTGATTCTCTCAGTTTATCAGTGACATGCAAATAAAAATGGCAGCTGAAGTCACTTACAACTCTGTGTTATCAACAGTTTCCAGAGCACATGAGGTGAAGGAGCTGAGTTCTCTTCTTTGGACACTTGCCTTGATAAAACAATGTTTCGCTCCATAGGTGGCTAGGCTTCTTTAAAACAGCCTGAGGAAGCAAACTTTAACTTTGATTAATGTGGCAGTGATGTTTACATTTCTAGACAGTGAGCTATTTGTGTGCAAATAAAAGGGAGGGGTTGTTTTTTTGGTGGCTACCTGGACAGGCATCAACATATGGTGTGTAACACCTAACTGGCTGTAGGCCTCACAAAAGCATTTTGGGAAGCAATTGTAACCTGATTATGATGTGATTAGGCCTCCTGTCTGACCCACAGGATTCCCGTCAGTCCTGCTGACTCGCACAGTTTCCATTCCCGCTTCACCAGACCTGTCAGGGCTACTCCGAGTCAACTAATTAACTCCTGTTATATAACTAGCTATGCTGGGTCCACACCGAGTTACCCAGTCCCTCCCTTCAGCGGTCTAAACTCCTTAAATCTCCACTAAAGCCTGAGATGGTTTTGTCTGAAGCTCAGAAACATTGCTGGACCTGGCTGGGATGGCATGCCTGGTATTCCTGTAGACAGAAATGTGCTGGAATGAACCACAGGCTAATAACAGCAGTATCTGAACACGAAGGCCTCAGTATAGCATTCAGACCCCTAAAGGTCCCATTTACCTCTGTTTCTTTGTAATTTATCTTCATTATTTAGCAGTTTGCTGCACATAGGTAAGATTGTTTATGCAACACTAACTACCCAAGAGGAATCATGTGGAAAGATCAAGTTCACACTTTTTCAAATTTCAAACTTTACAAGATAAATAGTTTAAGTTGCCTTAAACTTATTTTATTATACTAATCATGTAAAATACAAGTTTCTGCAGTAGAATGAGTCAGAGTATTTTTGTCTCCTTCTCACATGCAGCAGGCACAGAGGAGAGTCCTTGAAGAGCAGCATGTGGCCAACCTGCCAGTCAAAGCAAGCCCTGGGATTGCGGTGAGTACACCCCCTGCTGCAACTGCAAAGGAAGTGGCTAAAACTCCAGCTCCAGCGAAGATCCCAGAGGCTGTTCCATTTGCTCTCCCCATTGCCGTCCCCACTGTAGAGACCCCCAGAGTAGAACAAAAACAAGTTGTCAAAGAGCCTTTTGCAGAGCCCGCCCCAGTCAAGGTGGATGCACCAAAGCCTGAGACTGTGCTGTTGGAACAGACTCCAGCAGAAGCTGAGGTACAAGTCCCAGCATGGGTCACTGAAGAAGCACCAGCCATCATGACTCCACCAGTGGCACCATCTACAGTTAAAGCCACTGCAGTACAGGAGGCTGAGGTAAGAAGGCTTCTTTTTTTTTTACACAGTTATTTATGTTGGAGACCGTTTATAGACTAAAAATGTTTAGTTTCACATTGTCAGTACAAAATTCAGATAAGGATTCAGTCCTCCTCAGACATGCCCAAATCAGTGGAACAGCATTAGAAAACATCCGCAGACTTTTTTTTTTGACAACACACGAACTAGTTCCTTGTTGGAACAATGAGCTGTGTGTGCTTCGCCATACACCTTCATGTAAACCGCATCCAGCTGCCATTTTACATGCTTGTTGTTCAAATGTTGGAGAAATGAGCCTTTGTAGGTTTCATTTTGTGTATGGTTTGTAGGAAGGAGACAGTTTCTATGGGCTGTTTTTAGTGTATACATAATTTTTTTAAGAGTATGAGTTTGTTTTGTGTGAACAACCAGTTTACAACATTGTACAACTAAACAGGGACAAAACTGAGGCGCTTGTTATCAGAGCCATATAAATGAAGGTCCATTTTATTGTTCATTTAAACCTGCTGGCTACAAATGTGAAGCACGAAACAAAGAATTGTCTTTTTTTTTTTTTTTTTTTTTGCTTCAATGTCAGCCTGTGGCCTGTCCTTTGAACCCCAGGTTAGAAATATAACTAGAATTAAATGTTACCATTTTAGGAATATTGCCCATGTGCAACCATTCACCTCTAAGGAAGACATTAAAAGATTTGTTCATGCTTTTATTTCCTGCAGATTGGAGTATTGCAATCTCCTGTTCTCAGGCCTCCCCAAGAAAATTTAAAACAAATGAAAAATGATACAGAATCAAGCAGCACCTTCCCTTAACAAATTCATCCTGTTTTTAAGGCCCTTCATTGGCTCTTCATTCAGTGTTTTTTTTGTAACCTGCAAGTGGCGGTGGGTGCAGATGTTGCTGAAATATGTTGCACCAACTTGCTTCCTCTGTGTTCCTGCAGCCCTCCATTCCTTCCCATTTCTGTTGCTCTCCCTTGTAAATTTGCTGTACCTTGTCATCTGTCTTTCCCTCCAACCACTTGTTTCTTTCTGTTACCCCCCCCCCACTGCTTGTTTATTCTTCCATTCTTCAGCCCATTCCTCGCATTCAGCCGTTCTGTCGTAGATAAAGAGTTTGCTAACTTGCGTTTTTTATTTCTCTTTCTCCAGGTTCATACATCTGACACCACATTAATAACCACAGAGACTGAACAGGTAAGCCTGATGTTTCTCATGAGCGCGTGGCTTCATATTATAGTGGCAGAATTACAGTGGGTACGGAAAGTATTCAGACCCCCTTAAATTTTTCACTCTTTGTTATATTGCAGCCATATGCTAAAATCATTTAAGTTCATTTTTTTGGAACACGTTTTTCACACCTGCATTTGGGGATCCTCTGCCATTCCTCCTTGCAGATCCTCTCCAGTTCTGTCAGGTTGGATGGTAAACGTTGGTGGACAGCCATTTTCAGGTCTCTCCAGAGATGCTCAATTGGGTTTAAGTCAGGGCTCTGGCTGGTCCATTCAAGAACAGTCACGGAGTTGTTGTGAAGCCACTCCTTCGTTATTTTAGCTGCGTGCTTAGGGTCATTGTCTTGTTGGAAGGTGAACCTTCAGCCCAGTCTGAGGTCCTGAGCACTCTGGAGAAGGTTTTCGTCCAGGATATCCCTGTACTTGGCCGCATTCATCCTTCCCTCGATTGCAACCAGTCGTCCGGTCCCTGCAGCTGAAAAACACCCCCATAGCATGAGGCTGCCACCACCATGCTTCACTGTTGGGACTGTATTGGACAGGTGATGAGCAGTGCCTGGTTTTCTCCACACATACCACTTAGAATTAAGGCCAAAAAGTTCTATCTTGATCTCATCAGACCAGAGAATCTTATTTATCACCATCTTGGAGTCCTTCAGGTGTTTTTTAGCAAACTCCATGCAGGCTTT